TGCCTGCTTTGTGTCACCTGAGGAACTGACGACCTAGTGCTGATTGTGGGGAGGGGGTGGCGGCCCCTACTTCCCTCTTGCATTTGGAATTCTTGGAGTCCCTTGGTTCCAGCCTGAAAGTTAGGCTACTGCGTGCCCCCTTCCCCAGAGGTTTGCAACCCCCACTTAAACTGCCATTTCACCTCGTGGTCTCCCTAGTTACTCCCCCTCCCCTGGGGGATAGACAAAAGCGAGGAGAGGGTTTGTGGCTCGGCTAACTGTCCAACATTGAGTTTTACGGTTCCGGCAAAGCTCCTGCTGGGAGCCGTGCCCCTCCCGGTGCTCTCTCCCCTGCAAGTCTCTCGCCTGGGATGGTGCTTAGTTTTAAATAGAAGTCCTTTGTATAAGGCAGCTAAAACTAGATGCAAATACTGGCAATTTGGCCGGAGAGCTTGCCCCCTCCTCCCGTATTTATCCGTTCCGCCAGCTGTGCTTGGTGGTGGAGGTGGGAGAAGAGGGGACCTGCTCGCTGGGAGCATTTATCTTATTGGATTTCTGTCACTGTCTCAGTCATTCTGTGCAGTCTTCATTAACAAGGAAGAAAAAGAACTTTGGACCTTCATGTGTTGAGAACAGCTTTTGACGCCGCCTCAAAATAATGGCGGCAGCTTTGTTTCAGTGACCTCAAAATGTAGTTTTGGAAACAGCAGAAAGATTCTTAATCCATCCTGTTATATTAGACTACTTATGCTAGATAATGGTCCTCTGAAAGGGGATGCTGTGGGTTGTCACGCGTTTTCGTGTATTGCCGCTTTCCAGATTATTTGTGTATTTATAGAGCATCAAAGTGTTTTTACTTAATTCATTTTTTCCTGACGAAATTCAAATGTTAGCATACAAGCATATGGTTTATGTCTCCCAGCTTTTAAAGTCATGGGACACGAGCAAGGACTGGATATTTCTGTGTATTTATTTTGCAAGATTGTGTGCTGTGGTTTGTGCAATGGCTCTGTTTTGGCATTTTTACTGTTTCTTTGGTGATAGAACAGAATTGTATGTACGTGAATTTGAGTCAGTTCTTTCTGGTTGTGACTGGCCGTTTCCATTTCGGCATTGTCTTGTACAATAATAGCACCTTTTCGTCTTCACGAATCTCAGGATCATGAGTGGCGCATTCCTATTGTCCGCTTTAGGGGAGCAAGGCAGTGTGTCAGAAGAATTCCACCGCAGTCAGTGTTTATGGTGCTGTTTTCATTTGTAGACTTGGCACTCTTGATTTGAACCAGATGCCTTTTGAATTCTTCTGCTTTTCTAGCAATAGGAAGCACTAGATGGCGGTGTGAGTTAGTGCAACCAATCTGTCACCTTTGGAAACCCAAGCTGAGTTCAAATCTTGATGGGCTTTCCCTCGAGGGTTTTGGATTCTGCCAGCTCACATTATACTTGGCGCTGGCTATTAGTATTAATTTCTCGCTTTCAAAGGCCCTAAGACTGATTAAGCCCCACTAAGCAACTAATAGAAAACAAAATTCTGTAGGCCATGACATTTGGCCAGAAAACCTCACCTAAGAAAGATTATAGTGTATTGTAGGAAATCTGTTACTCTGACTTCAAGAGACTGCTGTGAAGGATTTTCTTTAAACTGGCTGTACACCAGATGATTCAAAGTCGTACAGATTCCTTGCCCTTCCCTATAAAAAGCCACAGTTTGGATAGATTAGAAAAACCTAAGAACTGTGATGTAATTGGATAAAATATGTCACTGGGAGGGGTGGGTTTTGAGATTTCAAAAGCCTACACAAGGCCCAGTGTTTCTCTGGCAGCTAGTGGATCAGGATGTGGCCCTCAGCTACTTCTCAAGCACCATCCATGTTCCCACCATGTTGATAATGGACTAAACCTCTGGAATTGTAAACAAGCCCCAATTAAGTACTTTCTTTTATAAAACAAAACAAAACAAAACAAAGAAAAACCCAAGAACAAGTTTTGTTTTTTCCTATAGAAGTGGACATTGAGCCCAAGGGCTAATGCACACCAGTCAAGCTCTCTACCACTGAGCTACAACTCAGTCATACATAGTTTTTTTTTATTTTTATGATTGTATGTTTGGCATATGCAAATGACTACAGTTGCATACATCATTCCTGTGACGGTCGAAGGACAACTTTCCACTGATGGTTCTCTCCTTCCAGTGTGGGTTCAGTCTGAATTCAGATCAGACTTGAGCAGCAAGCATCTTTTTTTTTACTCATGTGCTGCTGGCCCTATTTATTTTTAATGAACAAACTTTGTATCACCAAAAATGATGAGAAAGAAGTAAAGATAAGGCATGCCTTTCATTCTTGAAGTTTTGGTTTCAGATTATCCAGTAGGGTTTTGATCTAAAGTGGCCTAATGACTGTTTAGATGAGTGGCTTGAGTAGACTTTCTGCCATTGTCATCCAGTGTGCCCACTTTCCTTTTCTCGCTTCTTCCTAATCAGAATTGCTTGAGGAGAAGAGATGCTGGTTTGCTGAATCAGTTGCAAGAACTTGACAAGCAGATAAGTGACCTGAGGCTGGATGTTGGAAAGACAGCTGAGGAGCAGCTGGAGACAGACAGCCGGCCTAGCTCAGGTGAGCCGGCAGCTCCCTCTCTCAAGGGAGACACCCAAGCAAGTGCCTATGGAGTTTGTTTCCAAATGTGAAGACATTTGAAGAGCAGCCTGCCATCCGGTTGCTCGAGAAGGAAATAAATTCAGTCTACAACATTTCAATAATGAGACTGAGCTGCCCAGTGTCCCCTGAGTCCAGAAAATACAAAGTTCTATTTAGATTTCTGGAAGAGCAAACAGACCTCCTTTGGAACCTGAGGTCAGATCTAGGCTAGAAAATGAGTCACAGTTCAGCTTCCCTGAGATCACTGAAATTTCTTCTTCTTTTAAGCCATTTGGCTCCTTAAGTTACTTTTTCTCTTGAAGTTACTTATCTATTTTCTTCAGTATTATTATTATTATTTTTTTGTATTCCGGACTGACCTTTAATCCACTCTTGTCTTCTTCTTCAGCCTTTTGAGTGCTGGGATTATAGTAAAGAGCCACCACACCAAAAGAGCTTAGTTTTTCCTTTTGAAAGAAACATTTATGATGAAGCTGAGGCTCTGTCAGATTTATACACCTTTAAATGTGGAACAAAGAGGAGGATGAAGGAAACTTTGAACTATACCCAGAGTTACATGATTTTTTGCCTTCTCTAAAGAATAGTTGAAATAAAACCACATAACTAGGACCCTAAAATCCACAATGTGTGTGGAAGCCCCCAATAATCTAAAACAAAACAACCAGCTTTCTTTTCTTTGATGCCTTACCCTTCTGTTTTTTTTAGGCATAAATGTGTGTTATTGCTTCGTATGATCTTAATTTCAACCATCTTTTTACTTGTAGGGTTTTATGAGCTGAGTGATGGGGCTTCAGGATCCCTTTCTAATTCCTCTAACTCCGTGTTCAGTGAATGTTTGTCCAGTTGTCATTCCAGCACCTGCTTTTGCAGCCCCTTGGAGGCAGCTTTGACTATCTCAGAAGCTTGTCCCAAATCTGCAGGTAAGGATGTTTAGCATTGACAGAAATTTTAATTGGGAGACGTCAGGGGTCTTTAAAGTTCTGTGGCTTCAGCTGCTTTCTGGATAGGAAAACAATTCGGTCAGTGTGCTGCATGCGCTCAGTGCCACAGTTCCACATAGAGCCTGCACTTTGATCTTCATGACCATCGAGACTAACGGACTCTTTGGCTTTAGAGGAATTGTCCCCACATTAGAGACATTGGGTTCTGTTTCTTTGCTGTTTAATCCCTCCCTCCCTCCTTTTCTCATTCCTTTCTGATGCTGGTGTTTGAATCCAGGATTGTGCACATACTAAACCCATACTATACAATCTACCCATTTTTACATTCCTTTTTGTGTTTCTGGGGTACCTCTTAGCATGCTACCCCTCAGCTACATCTCTGGCCCTTTATTTTCTTTTGAGAACTATCCTTTTATTTTTTAAAGTACACATTAAGTTACATATGTCCATCAGTCTAGCCAAAGGGAGCAGTGGCCCTTCCATGTTTCTCAGAATACCCCACATAGTGAAATTTCCCTTAATCTCTGTTATAATTCTCCACCCCAGGCTTCAGAGATAATCATGATATTGTTAGTGATGGCAGAATTTGTCATGACCTGCATACATTTATTCTTCACTGTGTCCTCCCACAGTTTTCAGGGTACAGTTGTTAACCTTGGGGTGTAGTTATATATTAAGAAAACAAGGGGCCAGAGAGATGGCTCAGCAGTTAAGAGCACTTACTGCTCTTGAGCGGGCCTGGGTTCAGGTCCCAGCACAACCATCTATAACTCTTGTTCTATGGGATCTGGCCTCTCTTCTGACCTCTGCAGGCTCCTGCACACATTGTACATATACATACACATATACTCAGGCACATACATATAAAACTAATGTTAAAAAAAGAAAATAAAGCCAAGTAGGTTATTTAAGTGATTTAAGGCTGTACGGTTGGGCATGGCAGGATTTAAACTCAGGTCTAATTTATGTTGTCCCACCACTCCTGACAAATAAGTAAATAAAGCTGTGGTCTATCAGCCAGCTATTTCTAGAAGCTCCCACCTGATGAATGAGAGTTGTCCCTGAAAGTCAGAACTCCTCCTTATTCCTGTTATAGTTTGGTAACATAAGACAGCAGAGAAAATAAGAGGATTAGAGCTGCTACTGGAGGAGTGGGAACGGGCTGCCGCACTCTGTTTTTCATCTGAGTACAATGCTGAAGTCCAGGCAAAGCAAGCCTCACACTGAGCAGCTGAGGTTGCTAATTGGTCAAGCCTTTGCATTTGTACAGCGTGTGTTATCAACAGCAATCAACCATTTGGGATGAGTACAGAACCCTGTTATCTAGTATCTGGGCCTCAAGTTCATTGCTAATTGCTCCCCATCACTCTGCAGATCTGGTTTCAGAGGGAGACTTTATAAACCCATTAAAAGGCACTTTGGGCAGGTTTTACTTGAAGACAGATCCCCAGCTCTTCCAAATGCCACATCATGACATAATTGAGACAGTTGGGCTGGGCCTTGGGGGCTGTTTTGTTCTACTCTAAGTCTAGAGAAAGACAAATGGAGACTCATAGGCAAATGTGACTTAAGGCAGAAAAGCTGGTTTAAGGTACCAGGAGGGATAGTGGGAAATGTCAGCTAGAGAGGTCTCATTTTCTTTTCTTGTCTTCCCTGTCCTTTCTTTTTAGAGGTCTTTGTCCTTCCTTCTTCTGCAACTCCAGGCACCCCTGCACCTGTCTCTCTTCCTGCTGGGATTATGGGTGGTCATCACCACTCTGGGCAGTCCTACTGTTAATAGGCTCTTTGTTAGAGGTCGATTAGGTACAGACACAGCATTTTCATTAAGAAAAAAATCCTACAAATTATACCAACCTTGAGTCTAGGTTATTTTTTTGTTTTTATTTTCCTCCCAAAATTGTTAACTATTGAAGGTCATAAAGTTTTCCCCTAGAAGGGCCTAGGCCTGGCCCAGGATGATGTGGTAGACTTTGGGGAGCCCCTTTTGAGGGCCTTACCCTGCCTGGGGAGTGGAGGGGGGATGGCTAGGGGCAGGAGGGATGTTGAGGGGGAGGGAGGGAGAGGGAGAAGGGATTGACATTTGAAGCAAGCTTGTTCCTAATTTGAACTAATAAAATAAAATAAAAATAAAAAAGTTTGCCCCTAAACAGTTAACACAGAATTTGATATGTGGTAGGTTCTCACTATTTAAATGGATAGATATAACAGAGGAAAACTCCTAATTTCCCTAACTAAAGGTCATAAAGAGAATTTGTTATGTTTTCCAAGGTAGAAACCAACATTTAACTAAGAGCTTTGTTTCATTGTATTTCTGACATGTAAATTTTGAGATGTAATTTCTCCTTTAAAGAACTTTAGTGTATGAATTACACATACACATACATACATATACATTCATGCACATATATACATATATATTACAGTTACTGGAAACAGAGAAGAAGGTAAACATCGGCCTTCCCTCATCACACTGGAAGGTACTGTTTGGATTTTGGTGTGCTTCACTTCAGAGCTTCTTTACATAGGTATCTTAAAAATTACACTGAGTTACATCACGATTTTTGTTAAGGTGCACGGAGTGTTTCCTTATTCAGTAGATTCAAACACGATACATATTTTGTCAAAGTTCTTGAATATTTTTTGCCTCCATTCAGTAATCCATGAACTTCATTCATGTAAACTTGTAGAAGAGCAGTGTGGAGTATTTCCCAACCCTTTGTTATTCTTTTCCTACCTGTAAGTTTCTCTTGATAAAATTTGGCCAGAGTCAAGTTGGCTCCACCAGTTCACTTCTTCAGTGTCCCTTTACCTGTTTTTCAGATCTCATAGGATGGTTGGAATGTAAAGGCAGCCGTGAAGACCAGGCCTCAGGGGCGATTTGCAGTTCCCCCTCCACACCACAATTTAATTCCCTTGATGTCATTGCAGATGTGAATCCTAAATACCAGTGTGATCTTGTGTCTAAAAACGGGAATGATGTATACCGATACCCCAGTCCACTTCATGCTGTGGCTGTGCAGAGCCCGATGTTTCTTCTTTGTCTGACGGGCAACTCTCTGAGGGAAGAGGAGGTGCTTGGGAACCATGTCAGTGACATTTGCGTTGGATCTGAACTGAATGCTGCCAAAACAGATAACTCCCTGCCATCTCCAAGCAGTTTGTGGTCCACTTCTCATCCTTCATCCAGTAAGAAAATGGATGGCTACATCCTGAGCCTGGTCCAGAAAAAAACCCACCCTGTAAGGACCAACAAACCTAGAACCAGTGTGAACGCTGATCCTACCAAGGGGCTTTTGAGGAATGGAAGTGTGTGTGTCAGGGCCCCTGGGGGCGTCCCACAGGGCAGTGGTGTGAACCTTAAGAATACCAAACAGATGTGTTTGCCCTCTGGGGGATTCGCCTCTTTGGAAAACGGGCCATTCTCCCCACCTAAGCTGAGGCCAAAAGACTCAAAGACGGAGCAGTTGGAAAGCAAGAGGCTGGCTCTGCCGGAGGGATGCTCGGCAGGCGCTGCTGTGGAACCCCAAAGCAAGCATGTGCCCCAAACCGCCAAGGTAGCCTCTCAAGAGCTCGCGAGGTGCCCGGGGGCGCTGGGAGAGTCCCCGAAGGAAAGCAACCAGGTCTCAGCCGTTTCTCCTAAAGGGAGTCCCGGCAGAGGCCCCGCGGCCCCGGCAGACGGCAAAGCTCCGCCGCCCCAGAAGAAGATGCCGCCGAAGAGCGGCCTACAGGCCTTGCCGGCGGTGGACAGGCCCGTCTTGGACTTCAAAAGCGAGGGCTCCTCTCAGAGCCTCGAAGAAGGGCATCTGGTGAAAGCTCAGTTCATCCCAGGGCAGCAGGCGGGCACCAGAGCTCACCGCGCACACAGGAACCCGGGGG